GGCGTATGGCGTTGGCTTCTATCTGGAGGTAGTCGGCCAGTTTCGAGAACCGCTAAGCCCTTCGGCTCATGTCAGACAATGCCTCCGATGTTCTTGATCCTGTGCAAGCGTCTGAGTCTCGGCTGAACACAACCTGCCTTGAGCAGAGTTTTAGCATATACTTGCCCGAGGTTATTCTTGGCCCTCCGCAGGGTCTTCGGCAGGTTGGTTGGGCAAGTAGTATCTGTTTCACCTTCCTTCCTGGAGGCATTCGCAACGGGTGCCCAAACCATCGCAGCTTTCACCCCTCAATCTGAAGGAGCAGTTGCTGCATACTCGGGCTCTCTATCGAGTATCTGTACTGCGAACCTCGTCGAGACTCGTCAACTCAACGATTCGTATTCGAAAGCCAATTTCAGCCACTTGTACCATGGGTGGCAGACTTGTGCAGGTAAATAGAACATTTAGGTAAACAGCCAAGTCGTCCTACCTGCCAGGCGGTCTGTGCAACAGTTCGCTTGCCGTCATCTCGCGAGAGGAACACGCTTCTCGAATCTAGCAAATCCAGGATGCGCCTTGTACACGACGTTGGCCAGAACAAAGTTGTACTTTGACTCACGTGACAAGTAATAAAAACTCTGCTGGCATAAAAAATATCTGCCAGATTATATTGTGTCAGTGACTGTGGAACGGCTGCACGGCTGCGACTGTGGAGTCTTACGAAACACTGACTTACAACACATTTCTCACTCGTAGTACTTTAAAACGGCTCCCTGTTGTACCAAGGTGAGGAGAAGTGTCAAAGCCACCGCCCTACCGACTTGCAACCGGTCGGGTCAAACTACAGGCGAGCACCGCGTCGTCGTCGTCGTCGTCGTGGTCAGTGCTTACTTTTTGGGCATCTGCGTTTTTCGACTCGTCAGCTGGTCACTCGTCGGTCACTTTGTGAATCGAGGTAGCCGAGTCGCTACCGCAAGCTCCGTTGCTGCCTCTGCCGCTGCCGGTTATCCGACTGGCAAAGACGAGATCGACTGCCCGCCCAACCGAACCAACACTAAGGAACGCCCGTCAGACGTGGGGCCTTTTCTCTGAACGTGATGTGCATGAATCAAGCCAAAAAACGCCTGCACTGTCATCGCCTATATACGGACAGCAAACCGGGTTTACGGAGCGGCTGTCGCGCTGTCGAAACTTGTGGACAATCGTTGGTCCTCAACTTTGCTGTCTCGGAACATGAACGTTTTGCCGGACCGAAGGCGAAAAGTGAAATGCAGGTTCTCCGCCAACCGACGTTCGACTACAGTCGCCACA